GACTTCGTCGAGGGCCAGTGCTGGCAGCTTCCCGCGGGGGGGTCCCCACACCCACCCTCCGCGGACGGCTCTGAGGGGGTGGCCGCGGCCGCCGCCGAGGCCGACCGCGAGCTGGAGGAGGCGAGGGCCTTCTGCTGCGAACGGGGCGAGGAGGTGCAGGCCCGGGCGCAAGCCCGTTCGGAGCGCGCCGCGCGGGGGCGACGGCGACCTTTCCTGCGTCGGCGCGCACGCCTGGATCGTCAGGCGCCCGGAGGCGACTTCCCCGCGTTTCGCCGCAGAGGAGGCGGATGTCTTTGCGGCCGGCTGCAGCTCGGGCGCCAAGACCGAGGACTGGTACGCCAGTCCCGAGAAGGCGAGGCTCGTGCGCGACATCGGTGCCTTTCGGCGTGTCACCCGGCCTCTGTCGTCTCCGGCCCACCCGGCCTCGACGGCGCCGCCCTCGGAACCGCTCGACGCGGGGGCTTTGTTAGAGGGTTTCGCGAGGGCAGCGGCTGAGATGACGACAGCGGCAGGACCACCGCCAGTTCTGCCCGACGAGTCAACCACTGCGAGCACTTGCAAACAGAGCTGAATTTTCCCTTTGGGGGCCTGCGGGGGTTGCTCTACGTGAGCTAACGCGCCCCCCAGGCTTGGCCCCAACATGGAAGGTTGTGATCAGTTTTGCTTCTGGTGTGCCGTTATCTTTCAGTTCCCACATGTCGGCTTTCACGCTATCTGCTGGGTCTGGTGATGCACCGTCACACAGTTTCAATATCGGCGCAATCCAGTTCAATTGCATGTTGTTCTCGGGATTCCATCGGGGGCCTGTGGGGGGGGGGTGCTCTACGTGAGCTAACGCGCCCCCCAGGCTTGGCCCTAACATGAAAGGTTGTGTTCAGGGTTGCCTCTGGGGTGCCGTTGTCTTTCAGTTCCCTCATGTCGGCTTTCTCGCTATCTACTGGGCCTGGTGAGGCACCGTCACTCAGTTTCAATATCGGGCCAAAAAAACAATCGAACATCTGTATTCTTGGGTTGCATCGGGGGCCTGCGGGGGTTGCTCTAAGTGAGCTAACGCGCCCCCCAGGCTTGGCCCTAACATGGAAGGTTGTGCTCAGTTGTGCTTCTGGTGTGCCGTTATCTTTCAGTTCCCACATGTCGGCTTTCACGCTATCTGCTGGGTCTGATGATGCACCGTCACACAGTTTCAATCTCGGCACAATCCAGTTCAATTGCATATTGTTCTTGGGATTGCATCGGGGGCCTGCGGGGGGTGCTCCACGCGAGCTTACGCGCCCCCCAGGCTTGGCCCTAACATGGGGGGTTGTGCTCAGGGTTGCCTCTGGGGTGCCGTTGTCTTTCAGTTCCCACATGTCGGCTCTCTCGCTATCTACTGGGCCTGGTGAGGCACCGTCACTCAGTTTCAATATCGGCACAATAAAGTTCAATCGAACATCTGTCTTCTTGGGTTGCATCGGGGGCCTGCGGGGGTTGCTCTACGTGAGCTAACGCGCCCCCCAGGCGGGCCCTAACATGAAAGGCTGTGCTCAGGGGAGCTTCTGGTGTGCCGTTGTCTTCCAGTTCCCTCTTGTCCACAGCGCCCCGACGGTGCCGGCGAACAGAAGCACGATTGCAAGCAGATGTTATATATTATTTCACAATCGCGGGCTGTCAGTTTCTATGTCCAGGCATGTCGGTGCCTTTTGGTGTCTCGCCTCGCGCGTGCGCGTGCGTGCGCGCGCGCGTGCGTGTCGCATGCTCACCGATAAGAGGCCTGTCTTGAGTAACCGACCTGGTCGCTATACCCAGAACTCCAGAACTCCCCCTCCGCCTCCTCCTCCTGCTCCTCCTCCTCCCCCCCCCCCATCCTCCTCCTCCTCCTCCTCCTCCTCCTCCTCCTCCTCCTCCCTCCTCCTCCTCCTCCCTCCTCCTTCTCCCCTCCCCCCCCCTCCCCCTCCACCTCACGCATCACCTCTCCTTGTCCCTCCTCTCCCTGCCCCTCCTGCTCCGCTCCTCCCTCCTCCTGCTCCTCCTTCTCACCCGCCAGTTCCCCCCCCCCCCCTCCTCCCCCTCCCCCCCTCCTCCTCCTCCTCCTCCTCCCTCTTTTCCTCTCCTCCTCTCCTCCTCCTCCCTCCTCCCACTCCTACTCCTACTCCTACTCCTACCCCCCTCTACCTCCTTCCTCCTCCTCCTCCGGCCTCATCATCCTGCTCCTGTTCCTCCTCCTCCGTCCCCACCTCCTCCTCGTCCTTTCTCCTCCCCCCCTCCCCCCCCCCCCCCCCCCTCCTCCGCAGCCATTTTGGCTCAAGAGCTTCCGAGCCTTCAGTGGCCCCCGGTGGCTGCGCGCGCCCGCCCGCGAGCGGGATTCTCTGCAATGGCGTCGCTTGCTGGTTCCTAGTGGCGCTGATCATCCACCTGTTCCTTTCCCACCTTGGTGTGGGCGCTGCTGCGGGCAGTACTTCTATGCCGAGCTGCAGATCATGGGTGGCCACCGCTGCTGCCGGCGCCCCGCTATCCGTCGCTCAACGTCGCCGCCGAGAGCGGGATGTCTGGCATGCTACTTCTTATAGTACACCTGGGAAAAGGCATTCGTCGAAGTGGACGCGGTCGACAGGGCCGACGTCAAATGCATGGCCCATGGCAAGGCCTCGCACCGCCGACTCGATGAGGATGGGCTCGCGCACGGAGTGCCCCCTGCCGCTTCTGGGAAAGTCGCTGCGCATCGTGCTCTCCGCCGCGGGGCTCTTACTCCTGCTGGCCATGCTGGCAGCGCGTTCGACCTTGGAGCTGGCGGACGCCGCCAAGCACCACCATCTTTCTCTTCAAGGCACAGCTGTCCATGCTGCGGAGCCCCTTGCAGGACGCCGAGCTCCTGCTGGGCATCGGGCCCGCGATGGAGATCGGGACCGCGCTGGAGTTGGGGACCCTTCTGGGCTTCGAGAACGTGCTGGACGTCGGGGCCCTGCGGGAGATCGCGATCGCCCTGGGCAAGTGGATCATGATGCTGCCCCTCGCCCTCGCTGGGCTGATGCACCTCTTGACAGCGACGATGCCGATGGAGAGCGCGAACGACGCCCGCCTCGAGCGGGTGGCCAGGCCCTTGCCCACACGTTGGCGCCCCCCGCTGCCCCACCTCAAGAGGACAGTGCCCCTCCACGAGAGGAGGACCATGCAGTCGACGCTCCAGCAGGTGATCTTCGCGCGGGTGCCCGTATGGAGGCCCCCGCCGACGCCGCTACGCCTTCCGTGGCGGCGTCTCTATCGGTTGATTTCCTCTTCTCGTGCATCGGCCAGCTCGCGTTCACGATGAATGAGCTCATCTGAATGATGGCCACGTCGCTCGCCGCACACAACGCGACCACCGCCGACTCCAACACCGACTTCCTCACTGCCTACACCAACGACCTGGTGCACCTGGACAATGACTCTTTCCTGTCTGACCTCGGCTTCGAGACCGAGCTCTGCATCTTCGAGGAGCGTGCCCGGCCCCCTGCTGGCGTTCCTGGCTGTGGTGTTGCCGTTCCGCATGCCGCTGATGTTCGGCTTGACGGGCTCGCGGAACCTCCTGGACCTCAAGATGCTCAACACTCTCTTCGTGAGACTATTCCCGCTAGTGGTTCTGCTGGTGGCGCCCCTCTCCCTGCTCTTGGTGACGTTGCCGACAGGCCTGGCTCAGGCTCTGCGGGCGGTTGTGCTGCTCCTCCTGCTGCATGCGCTGCGCCTCCTGAAGCTCGCGTCGACCCTGGCCTTCACAACCGGCGCGTTGAGAATAGTGTTCCTCTGGTTCCTGATCGCGCTGACCCTCAACAATCTCATTTGGGCGATGCGCCTGCCACTGCGGATGGTGATCGCATGGTTGCTGCTCGCGCTCCTCACGGCGGTTGCGCTGCTGCTGTTGTCCCTGCCCTTCCTCGTTGGCACAGCGCTCGTGCCACGCGCGACTTCTACTGCCTGAAGGTCTTCCCTGTGGGCCCGAGGATCTCGACTCGTACGGCATGCCGCTACCACCCGCACTGTTCTTTCGCCAATGACTGCAGCAACTCCCACCTGAGGGTCCTGCCGCTGCTGGTCACCCTCTCCCTGTGCTTCTTCCTCCACCAGTCGATGCTGTTGGCGTGCTTTCTGTTCATCAGCTTCCTGCTGGGCTTCTGCCTCATGAGAGTTGCGCTGCTGCGGGTACTGCCGATGCTGGTCATGCTCTCCCTGAGCATCCTCCTCCACCAGACGATGCTGCTGGCGCACTCGTTGTACTTCCACCCCCTGATGGGCTTCAGCCTCACGTCGACGGAGCTGCTGCAGGTCCTGCCGCTGCTGGTCACAGTCAGCACAAACATGCGCCTCCTGCGGGACATTCCTCCACCTGACGGCGCTGGGCGGCCTCCCCCTGAAGGCGCTGCGCTGCCACTCCCTGGGCAAGGGCTTCATGGCGCAGACGCTGATGACCAAGGGTGCGATTTGGGTCCCATCGCTGCCAGCGCTGCGGGGCAGAGCGTGCGTGATACATAAGTTGGTGTGCACCTTAATGGGCGTGTGATGCCTGGCGCACGCTTCTTTCGGCATAACGATATACTGCAGCCTCGCTCCTGCAGCAAGGCTCTCCTCGCTCACGTCAACTTCCTTATCGTGCGCGGCATCACCGACCCGCGCGGCGTCACGGAGGCCGTCTCCTTCTACTCGGCGGGGGCCCCCCCCGCCATCGTCTCTGCTCCTGCGGGCGCGGAGATCGACACAGACACACCGAACTTCACGTCCGATGAGGCGCTCGCAGTGAACACGTTCTCGACCGCCGTCGATGTCACCACCCCCGACCGGAACGCCATGCCCCTGAGAGGCTCAGAGGAAGCGCGGCGCGCGGCTTAGGCGGGAGGAGACTGCACCGTTGGACGCTTGTTCCTCCTCCTCCTCCTCCTCCTCCTCCTCCTCCTCCTCCTCCTCCTCCTCCTCCTCCTCCTCCTCCTCCTCCTCCTCCTCCTCCTCCTCCTCCTCGGATCGCCTACCCCCCCGGGGGAAACCTTGCACCCGGCAGGTGGGGCTACGGGCGCACGTGCACCAAGGCGCGTGGTTGTTGCTGGCGGGAGCCCTGCTGCACTTCGTCGCTGGCCTGCTGTTCCTGCGGGGCCTGGGCTGGCTCCAGGGACCCACGTCCGGGCACGGCTCTGCCTGCGCCCTCCTCTGCCCTCCTCCTCCTCCTCCTCCTCCTCCTCCCTCCTCCTCCTCCTTCTCCTCCTCCTCTCTCCTCCTCCTCTCTCCCCTCCTCCTCCTCCTCCTCCTCTCCTCCTCCTCCTCACTCCTCCTCCTCCTCCTCATCCTCATCCTCATCTCATCCTCCTCCTCCTCCTCCTCGCTCCTCCTCCTCCTCCTCCTCTCCTCCTTCTCCTCCTCCTCTCCTCCTCCTCCTCTTCCTCCTCCTCCTCCTCCCCCTCCCCCTCCCCCTCACCCCGCCCCCTCCCCTCCTCCTCCTCCTCCTCTCCTCCTCCTCCTCCTCCTCCTCCTCCTCCTCCTCCTCTCGCTCCTCCTCCTCCTCCTCCCTCCTCTCCTCCTCTTCCTCCTCCCTCTTCCTCCTCCTCCTCCTCATCCTCCTCCTCCTCCTACTCCTCCTCCTCCTCCTCCTCTTCCTCCTCTTCACCACACGTCCCGCTCCTCCTCCTCCTCCTCCTCCTCCTCCGCCTCCTCCTCCTCCTCCTCCGCCTCATCCTCCTCCTCCTCCTCCTCCTCCTCCTCCTGTTTCTCCTCCTTCTCCTCCTCTCCTCCTCCTCCTCCCCCTCTTCCTCCTCCTCCTCCTCCTCCTCCTCCTCCTCCTCCTCCTCCTCCTCCTCCTCTTCCTCCTCCCCTCCCTCTCCTCCTCCTCCTCCTCCTCCTCCTCCTCCTCCTCCTCCTCCTCCTCCTCCTCCTCCTCCTCCTCCTCCTCCTCCTCCTCCTCCAGGTAAGAAGGTTGTGAGGGACGCCGTTGGAGGAGGAGAGGCAGAGGGCAGGAAGAGGTCAAAAAGGAGGACGAGCCAGGCCTTGACAGCTCCCCTTCGGACCGGGACCGAGCGTCATGGCAGTAGCGGTGAGGCAGTGTTGTTCTCGGCCCACGCTCCCAAGGTCCATTCACTCTGCGTCGTTTCATCTGCAGTCGGACCGAGGTATGCGAACGAGGTCGGTTCGGGGAGGGTACCCTGGTGTTTTTCGGGTTTGTTGGATGCTCTTGTGCATCCTGGGGAGGGTAGTGATAGTTTTTTATGCATTATTTTGCCGATCGGCGCGGGCCCTCGCACCCACCCTCCCCCTCCCCCCCCATAGAGTAAATCTCGGCCGTTTTTGTCGCCTGTGTCGAGCAAATAAAGTCTCCCCCACGGGACGCACTGTTGCAAACAGTCGCATTAAGCAGAGGTCTAAAGCCAGACCCCCCCCTCCCTCCCTTCCGCCCAAGGCGAAACGCCGAATCAGAAAACGATCACGTACCCTTGGATGGTATGTTTGTTTTGGCCGACGCAGGGTCTCATGTTCTTGATGGATGTTCTTCTGGCCTAGGTTTAAGTCGGGCGCGTCGCTCTGCATTGGAATATACACATTATGACACACATCTGGGTACAATGTTTTAGATAATTGTTTGACTATTTTTGAGTAGGGGGACATGCCCGACCTAAGCCTAGGTCCGACTGTACCTATCAGGGTCCTTCTCCTCCCACTTCCGCCCCTGGAGGCCGCCCCGCCGCTCGCTGCCGCAGCGAACTCTCGGGCCCTGCAGATCCGCGGCCCCTGGGGCACCTCCCCGCAGACACCTCGGAGGTGCCGGGCGCGTTTCAACTACTCCCAGCAGGAGCTGCCCAGTGCTTGTGTCGGGCCGCCGAACGAACAAAAAGTGACATAAACATAGTAACGATCAAAAAGTGGCATAAACATAGGAATGAACAAAACGTGGCATGAACAATGACAAAAATCTGGGAACGAACAAAAAGTGGCATAAGCATAGAACTCGGAGGTCCGCGCGGATTGCTCGGATCCGCGCCTGACCCCCCTGGCGGCGCCTCTGGTTTCGCCGCTGGCGCGCTCCGCGCGCCAAAGGGAGGGGTCCAGCGCCGAGCCGAGAAATCCGCGCGGACCTCCGAGTTTTTATGTTTCTGTCATTGCTCGTTCCCATATCAAGATACGGGGGTCAATGAAAATGGGGGGTCAGGCAGAGCGCCGGATCTTGCAGGATCCTGCATGGCCAGGGGTGCGTTGACCCGGGCTTGGGCGCAGGATCCTGCAAGATCGTTCAGGATTTTGCCGGATCTTGCAGATTTTGACTGACCTGGGTTTGCATTGACCCGGGTTTGCATTAGCACAAAAGGATGGGCAAGTTCTCCCGGCTGCACGCAGCGGCGTGAGGTCCTCAGCCATGCCGCTTGGTTCGCGTCCCTGATCCTGCCCTCGGCATCGCTCGGGCCTGTGCATTCTTTCCGGCAGGGACCATCGAGGAATATCTTGGGGCATCCTGGGAAAACCAAAAACAAAAAAAACGCACATCATACCGAAAAGTACACAGGGGATGGACGTCCGAGCGATGGCGAGCGCCGCAAGACCCTCCTCCGCGTCGCACGCCTGCCTCGCGTGGCGCGGCGACCGCGCGAGGACTCGAGGGCCTCGGCGACAAGCGTGGCGGCCCCGGCAGTTCCGACGACATCGACGACATCGACGACGACGACGACGACGACGACGACGACGACGACGACGACGAGGCACTGGCGCGCGTGCCTGGGGCGGGTTCTTTTCCCGCTCCTGATCCCCCGACCTTCTGGCATCGTTCGGACGTGTGTTTCTTTTCACTCATGATATCATGCGCGCGGGGCGCCCCCTTGGCCTCAGCTCGGCTTTGCGAGCTCAAAGAGGGTGGGAGGGGCAGCAGCAGATCGCAGAAGAAAAACACGCACATAGATTTTCGGAGATCGGTGCAGATGTCTTGGATCTGCGCTGGGACCGCCCTGGCGGCGCCTCCAGCGCCGCCCCTGGCGCGCCCCGCGCGCCGGGAAGTGGGACCCAACTCCGATCCGCGAAATCTGGCATCGCTCGGACGTGCGCGTTTTTCTCGGCGGGGACCATCGAGGAGCATCTTGGATCATCGAGCAAAACGAACGCACGAAGCCGAAAAATACACGGGGAATGGACGTCCGAGCGATGGCAAGTTCTCTTTGTTCCCCCTCAGTTTCTGCGCCTTCCGTTTTCTTTCTCTTCACCTCCCCGTCGGCATCTCTCCATCTGCTTTCTCCCCCCCCCCCCCGCCGCTCATCCTGCCTCTCGGCCCCGGGGCTTGCTGCCAGAGCTCCACAAGGAAACAATAAGGCCCTGGAGGTGTTTCGGGTTCTTGGGGGTCCCTTCACGGGCCCCGTCAGAAAACGATCGAGATGAAAAGCTCGTCCTGGAGAGAGGCCCGGGGCCCATGACCAGTTTCCACCAGGATCTTTTTGTCCCTTCATGCCACAGTCGGACCTTGCTGCCAGAGCATCATGGCGTCCAGCGGCCGTATTCGCCAGACGGGCCCAGGACGAGGGTGAATCCATCCCAGAGCGTTCCGGAACCCTCTCAGAGCGTTCCGGAACGCTCTGAGAAGGCCGCAGCGCCCGATATATCTTCCAGAGCCGTCGGATCTCAGAGATTCCCGATTCTTCCTCTCGGATCATGGAACCACCAAGAAATCCAAGGCGAAAGCACTCGTCTTGGGGAAGGTGTCGAGGGCATGTCGAGAGCTCTGGGGTGCGCACGGCGCCCGAAAGCCGCGAGGGTGGACATGTGAGCTTGCTCATAAATCGGGCAGGAGAAGGGGGGGATCTCGAGGTTGTTTGTCCTTGCTTGACCTTGAGGGTGGTCTTGTCGCCACCGCTAGTTTCGCTTAGGACAGGTCTGGGGGCCGACCTTGAGCAGAAGAATAGGAGGGGAAGGAGGAAGAGGAGGAGGAGGAGGAGGGAGAGGAGGAGGAGGAGGAGGAGGGGAGAGAATAATGGATGAGGAGGATGGTTGGAGGAGGAGGAGGAGGAGGAGAAGGAGAGGGACGCGCATTGCGGGACAGAGAGATCAGCAACAGCGGCAGAAGGAGGAGGGGAAGGCTCACAGCGAACCCAGCATACGTATGTGTATCCATCACAGTCAGACCGAGGTATAAGATCTAGGTCGGTTCGGGGATGGCACCCTGGTGTTATTCGTGTTTGTTGGCTGTTCTTGAGGGGAACAACAAGTGACATGAGCATAAAAACTCTGAGGTCCGCGCGGATTTCTCGGATCGACGCTGGGGCCCCCGGGCAGCGCCTCCGGCGCCGCCTTTGGCGCGCTCCGCGCGCCATGGAGGGGGGTCCAGCGCCGATCCGAAAAATCCGTGCGGACCTCCGAGTCGTTTTGGCCGACGGAGGGTCTCATGTTCTCGAGGGGTCTTTTTCTCGCCTACGTCTTATTGTACACAGAAACAGACACAAGCACCAATCGCGTCAGCCGGCCGCTGGGACACCCAATCGGCCAGCCAACAATGAGCACCCTCGGGTGCAGGTTTGCTATCGAGAGGCGAAGCGGGAAGTGACACACTCGCACGGCTCGGGGGTGAAAGGGCCCCCCCTGCAAAATGTCACTTTCGAAAACAGGATGAATGATTGATGTATGATGGCTGTTTTCCTCTGGCAACCTCGCATCTCGCAACAGGCATTCGCACTTGAAGCCCGCATATCGTCGCAGAGGCCTGGAGGACGAGCGCCATGCAATGCATCAGAACATGGGCGCGACAACGCCTGGGCAATGCCACTGGCCAGCTCACTGCGGCTCAGGCACGCACGTGTTGGCGAACGAGCGGAACGGGACGAAGAAGGTGTGGCCGTAGTCGAGCGTCTGGGTGGCCGCCAGCTTGCGCCACTGCATCTCGGCGAGCAGGTCGCGCCACTTCTGCCGATCGGAGTGGTACGGCATCCGCCAACCGCACTTGCGGCGGACCCAGCGCTTCACCACAGACCACACGGACTGAAGCCCGTTAGTGGTGAAACCGCGGGGGTTTTTGATTTCGCCCGCGGAGTGCACCACCAGCTCGTGCTCGACGTCCTTCGCAGTCCACCCCTTGCTCTTCTGCACGCCTTGAACGCGGACACCGTGGCCGTCCAGGAGTCGTTCACCAGGATGGTCCCTTTGCGCATGCCGAGCAGGTGGAAGCTGGTCAGCATCTCCTGGTGCCCGCGGGGCTTTCCATCGAAAGCGTCGTTCGGGTGGTCCAGGATGCGGAAGAACCAAATGTCGGGGCGACCCTGCCGCGCTGCACCCCGGACCCAGACCTGGTCTTTTTGCGGGCGGGCTGCCCTCTGGAGAGCGCCGGGCTTTTTCTTGTTGAGGTGCGCCTCGTCCACCTGCACCACGAGCTTGAATTTGGAGACGTCGGCCTTCTTGGCAAGCGTGATGCCAGCCTTCCTCCTCTGCGCCGCCGCCTTCGCAGCAATCTTGCCCTTCGTCTTGGCGGGCGACCTCCTGCCGCGGGCCCTGACGGCCGCCGCGCCCTTCGGCTTCTTGTTCGTTTTCGGCCAGAACCCACATTTAGACACGATGCCGTCGAGTGCCTTCACCACCTTCCCTTGGAAGAGCGACACCCAGCGATCAAGCGCCTGCCGATTCTCGCTGCATCAGCCGGCGGGGGTAACCCATGGCCCACATGACCATGACGTCGAAGAATTGTTCCCACGACGACCCCTGGACACCCTGCAGAATCGAGCCAGCGGTCATGGACTCCTGGCTCTTCGGCTTGCACGACGAGCACCCAGAATCACAATCGCAACAGCGCCACGCCCAGGTGCGTTTGTCCTGGCGGTAAACGGGCTCGCAGTTGTCGCCATCGCACACGGGGCGCTCTTACGACGTGGGAAGGAAGCCCATGACCTGCGCGAAGATGAGGACTCGCAGGGACGCGGTGTTGGCCACGTCGCCCGTGCCGTTGACCTTCGCCTTTTTGACGTTCCGCAAGTAATCGCCCCTGCAATTGAAGTCGAGATCCTTTAGCGAGGCGCGGTGCTCTTTCAAATTCTTGTACTCTGCCATTCCGACCACCTCCGCGGTCGCGCAGTTGGGCCCCTGGCAGCGGACGACTCGCCCCGCGCCCGGAAATGCCCGAGCCAGAACAATTGCGGTCCATGCGCGGCAATGACAGCGGCTGCCCCGCTCGCAGTTGCGATGCAAGCGGCGACGACGGCAACGACGACGGCGACGACGACGACGACGACGACGGCGACGACGACGGCGATTTGTCCACAAGTCGGAAACTTAGGGAACGCGCTGCAATAAACATACACTGGCTTGCGCCCCCAGCTCATCGGGGACACAACGGCGCATGCAACCTCGGCTGCGCGCGCCGCGCCCGCGTCCGAGCTGGGAGCGCCGACGCTGCCCGTGGAGCGAGCCACGCATCGCTCACTCGTCATCCTCGCTATCCATGCCGCCGCCCAGGGCGGCCAGGGCCTCCGCACTCCCCCCCTCGAGCGCTGCCTCCAAGGCCTGCGCGAGCGGCATGTCCTCGGCGTTGGCTGGGGACGAGGAACAGAGGTCGACGCAGGCGTTGTTGTGCCCGAGGAGGCGCCTGAACTTGCGAGTGTCAGGCGGTAGCTGCTCCCTCTTGACGCGCGCGACGAGGGCTGCCTGCGCGTCGGGCACGCGCCTCGCCTGCGCCGCCTGCGCGGCCGAGTCGATGAACGCCCCCTCCTGCTGCAAGAGGTTCTGCCAGTCAGCGGGGGGGGTCGTGTCGCCATGTTTGGGCGCCCCATGCAACGTCTCCCCCATCTGCTGCGAGGTGCTCGCCCACGCCCTCGATGTTCTTCTGCTGCACGTCGGCCTCCTGCGCCCCCGCGGGCCGCCAGTAGACGAACTACTTGGCGTTGACGATGAACGCCGCCCTCCTGAAGACGGCCGCGATGCACGCGGGCGTCATCTTCTCGTGGAACACGGGGCGGAGCATGTTGTAGAACGCCTCGAATATGGCATGGGGCCAGACGTCGCCTTTGGCCGCGCTGTCGTTGCACGCCTGGTCAGCAACGGCGCGGGCCCCCCACTTGACCCACTTCGCGGCCCCCCACCTCGCCGAATCGCCCCACGTCCAAGAGTGCCTTCACCATCTTGGCTGGCAGCTGGTGGGGGGCAGCCGTCGTCGACGAACCCGCCCATGGCGAGGGCGCCTGCCCCCCCGCGAAGGAAGCCGATCTCTGGTGTCACCCTGATGCACACCCTGCCTTGGTCAAGCCCTTGCACCCTTGCGTCGCGGTCGCACATGGCGAACAAGTACGCCGCGCCCACGGGGGTCTTCCCGCAGTTTGGCTCGCCCACGAGGCCGAGCGAAGTCAGCGGGTCGATGCCCTCCCTGAGGACGTTCAGGAACCAGGGCTTGGCATGCTTCTCGCGCAAGAACAAGTTGCGCTGGCACCCTTTATTGACATGGACCCCCTCGGCCAGCACGTTCCGCAACGCCTTGTCCACCAGCGCAATCGGCCAGCCGCGCAGCGGCGCCCCCTGCTTGAGCGCCTTCGTCTGCCACGCCAGCTGGGCGCAGACGGACG